ATGGCAATGTCTGAGAAGAAAAATTTTAACATGCAAGAGCAATTGCATGTCTGGTTCCCCACAACAAAAACTCGTCTTCCTCCAGGAGTTTTCTGGGTCTGGCCTCAAGTTTACAATTAATGTTCTTTTTTTTTTTTTTTTTTTTTTTTTTTTTTTTTTTTTTTGTTGATTTTTCAGGGAAAGGACTTCAAAAAACGAACTGGTCTCTAAATTTTGTAGTCTCAGTTCCAGAAAAGTACATATTTCTTGGTACAATGAAGACACTCATGTTTGTCATTTGTTCTGTTAAAAAAAAATGTTGAGGACATTAAACATTCATTTTCTGAATTAGTAACAGTGACCTAACTTTTTAAGCCCATATCTGAAATTTTCCTCTAAATCCTTTCGTTTATAATAATATCAAAGCATTGTTTTAATAGTTTTCTAGGCTTAACACAACGCAGATCTTTCTGTGCTTTCTTAAACAGGAATTTACAATACCACAAATAAGGTAGAAGAATGTAAGGTATTATCATGTAAATTGCATTTTAAGAGAACAGGCTGATGGGAATCTCCAGTCACTTCCCTGCCGGACCCACCCACAAAGTCTAACAGAAACCTCTGACACAAGCCAGGCAGATCCAAACTTCCTAGTGCGCCCCAGCAGCTCCCTAGACATGAAAGGCCAGGGTTAGAATTTCTGGTGCACAAGACCCAAAAATGCCCTAAGAGACCATGAAAACTGTGGAGTCTATTCTACACCACACATTGGGCAAAAAGCATATACAAAATAACTCCCCCCACCACCCATCACTGTGCTTTATACAGAATAGTTATTGAGTTTGTGTGAATGCTTGAGCCATTTATACTGACTTTCCTTAAGCAAAATCTGAAAGTTGCATGCACATTTCTAATACTCAAGAATCAGCAATAATTTGTAATATCTCATATTTTAATTATCAATATTATTTACATAACAATTACTTTATTATCTGATTTGGGGATCCAGACTAACATGTAATACAACAGCTGGTCCTAAAATTACAGATTTTAACCATAACAACATTTTTTATGACAAGAGCTTGATTTAGTCAGAGATACATTCCAAAACCAATACTTAATACAGAGTAGACTGAAAATAGATGATCATTAAATGAATTTGGGAGTTTAAAAATACATTTCCACAATCTATTTGCTCTACAAGGAGAAACATAGCAACTCTTATTCTAGGATTCATGAAATACTATAAAAAGATACGGAAGATACTTTGGGGAATTATGTTAGCTATCTAAATTCCTGCCACCTGCATGAAACTTTGCTGACTATATTCAATAATAATCTCTCTCCCTTCCTGTCCATCTGGAGCATGATATTACTAAAGAACAATCAAAATATAGTTTCATATATAAATTTTAACTTTCTAACAAATTATTGAGTTTAAGAATATTATCATAGGTTTCCTTTTTATCTCTACAACATAATATTGGAAAAACACTTTCAGAACAAAACAAAATCTATTACTTAAGTCTATTTATGACACGTGCTGAGAGTATAAATGTTCACAAACACAATAGTTGAATCATACCTAGACAGTGAGGAAGTATGACAGCTTCTATATTTGTCAATATCATAAATCCTGAAACATTCCTAAACTGTCTAAAATACCTATTTTGCAGATTAATCTTTTTAGCAGGCTTAAATTCACCCTACTATTTTTGCCTAGAAGATCTGTTTAATGTCTAAAAGTA